TAGTGTGGAGTGTTTGAAGGCCAGACTTGTTGCTAAAGGTTACTCACAGTTGTATGGAGTGGACTACATGGAGACATTCTCTCCGGTGGCTAAAATTGGTTCTGTTCGTGTACTCATTTCCTTGGCAGTTATGTATGATTGGCCTCTCTTTCAACTTGACATAAAGAATGCCTTCCTCCATTGGAATGATTGTGTTTTTTCCCTTTTAGTCACTTGTTAAATTTTTGATAATATGATTCTGGCAATAATTTCGAAAGTATGAAAAAAATTCTCCATTGTTATGATTCAGTTTGTCTTGGGACCTAAATTTCTATTGTTATGATTCAGTTTGATTTCTCCTTGTTTGTCATTTGTTAAATTTTCAACATAAAATTTGCCAATAATTTTAGAAATGTTAAAATGTTTTTTGGTTTAGTGAGGCATCTTTTGAGCTTGTATAATTTGGCCTCTTGGAAATAAGGTGGTGTGGTTCTCTCCATTGATATTATTCAGCTTCTTTTGTGGACCGAACCACCTAAAGGTCATGCTTTGTCTTAGATTTTATTTTTAGTCTATTTATTCTATTATTTGAGTACTTGAATATTTATGTAGTGATCTCTGTAGTTTGGCACAAGGATTAATTGAGTTGGAGCATAAATAAAAGAAAGCGTGAAAAAGTGAACTTTGCATCAAGTAAGGGTCCGTTTGGTTTGCTTTTGGAATCAGAATCCAATATAATTGGAATCAGAATGGTCTATTCCCCCTGCCTGTTTGGTTCAGATGGGAATTGGAGTTGACTGGAATGGATTCTCATTCCCAAGGGAGGGGGAGGGAATGCGCCATTCCCTCAAATGGGGGAATGCCATTCCACCAAGAATGGGAATGGGGTTCTGATTCTGCCCAACCAAATGGTTGGAATTGGAATGGACCATGCCGATTCCGATTCCAGACCCCTATTCCCACGAACCAAACAGACCCTAATTTTCTCTTTTCTTGTTGGTTGACTTGTTGCTGTCTAATCTTCTTTGTAAAGCATTGATGAGTCAAAAAGATGATTAAATATTCCTCTAAATCTCCAATTACACCTTTCAAGTTTTGAAATATCATGCAGCTGCCTTGTTTCTCACTTCCACAGTTCCACCCATCATGCTATGTTCTGTAACAGCATGACTGGAAAGGCCGTGAAATGTGAGCCCAGTTACTGTTTTCTTTTATTTCAATTTCAAGCTCATTGGGGCATCTGAGTCTTTCAGTTTCTTTCTCGGGGGTGGAGGGGTGGGGTGGGGGGTAGCGGAATGAATGGAGGTAGTGGAAGTAAGAAACAAGTCATCTGCATGTCATTTGCAAATTCTGAGGCAGCACTCAATAACTGAGGTAGCTGATGGTAGTTCTCGGTTCTCCATAAAAATTATTTCATGAATGCATAAATCCAGGCATCATGTTTGATAACCTGTCTAATAGTTTTCATGCTTTTATTTATTCTAGGAAGTTGAAAAAGATGTGAAGGCACGGACAAAAGGTGAGATGGGGGCAGCTAAGACCCTTTGTTCCCCATTTGATCAGCCAGAACTCCCCGAAGGTACTGATTGCTTTTTCCTATTTCATATCCAAGTAATGGGTTATCCTTGATTAGAATTCTCAATCTTCATTTTCTAGTGAAAAAGTAGAAATGACATGAGGAATCTTCCATTTGGCAATGGGTTTTGGGGGCCCAAAAATGTACCTTATGGTTGTCTCTTTGTCCTATATTTAAAAGAGAAATTTTTAGCTTGGAACTCCTTGCCACATGTTTAGAACAACTCCTATTTATACGTGCAGTTTTTACATTAAGAAAAATTCAACCTTGATTGTGGGGATCCCCTTCTCCAATGGATAATTTAGATCAGCCACATTGTACCTCCACATGAAGCTCCATTCTTAAATTAATGAGGGATCTATAAATATGTACGTATACATGGATATATCACCTATTACAAGAAATATTTTGTGTTTTAGGTTATGTTTTGGAGTAACAAGTTCTGAAATTTTATGCCTGTCAGGGACCCTTTGCTTTGCCTCCGGAAAGCCTGCAAAGAAGTGGACTTACTGGGGCAGGAGTTATTGAATACGGGATCATATTTTCTCCGCTTAATTGTTTGGAGCAGGATCGATCTCTTTTGCAGCTATCATGTTTTCCCAGTTTTGCGGATATCATCGCTGTGACCAATTTGTATATTTGATTTTGTTTTAGACCTAATTTTTATAGTGATGAAAAGACGAATATTAACACAATTTTTATCTTGTCAAAGGGTAATGGAATATTCTGTTTTTCCATTAAATCAAGATTGATGCTTGGAAAGAGTATGTCTCCCTTGATTTCGGAGGCAGAGATGTATCTGGGTGAGTCATTTAAAGACTTAAAGAACTCAAAATCTTAGAATATGCTTTGAAAGAGTATGGTCAGTATCGCATCCGTATTGTTGTCTTTCTTTGATAAACTGGTATGGTTTGTATCATTTGGTAAAGAATGAATAAAAAAGTGTTTGGATACATTATTCTTGCCACAAGCTCCAGTCTATTTAGAATGAAAAATGGCCCATGATGCTGTGGGGATTGTAACCATAGACTATTTAGTAGGGAGAGAGTTTGATGCTGTGGGGATTGTAACCATAGACTATTTAGTAGGGTGAGAGTTTGATGCTGTGGTTGGGGCTCTTGTAGTAGAGCACAATTTGGGGAGTGTCATGTTATATGACCAAGGGAATTTAGTGAGCTCTTTGCAAAGTAGGGTTCTCACCCTGTGATTTATCACTTTAATTGGGCCATGTATTTCGGGTGATAGGAACTATTGAACTTGAGCTTGGTGCCAATTTGGGCCCATAGTGTTGGGAATTGGGGTCATGGAAACTTGGAGGAGCAGCGCTCTGAGGTGTGTTTGAAGATACTATCTTTAGAATATTATTTGTCCTCATTCAGATTTACTGAGTTTGTTATTGGGTTACAGGTAGATTCATTCCTAGGATACAACAAAGCTTTGGGCGAGAATATGCAATCAGTAAAGTTGAAGAATCTTTGAAGAAACCTCATGTGAGATAATAGCAGATCGAATTGAGAGAGAAAAGAATGATTTTCGAAAACTTGAGTTCAATTGCTTGATTCACATTCTTTAAATAGTTTCTGAAGAGTTATAGAGAAGAGGAAGGTGTTGTGAAAGGACTCTTTGAACAATCATAATTTCAAACATTGTAATTGTTAAAAGGTAGTTAATAGCACAATTTCAAACATTGTGCTTCATTACATCGCACACAGTGTTGCGCAATAGCAAGCCTCCATACACTATTCTTATTTAAGGAGTGTAAATAAGTTCCTATTTAAAAACTCAAAACAAGTTTAATAATTTTCAAATGTAGGATAAGTTGAAAAAAAAATAAGAGAAAAAACTATTTTTCAAGACATGTATGCAAATGTGTTTTTCATGTAATTGAACAATCAAATCCCATTGGATTTAATCTCTAATGAGATTAAAATCCAATACAGTTATCTTTAGAAAAGTCCATAAACTTTTTGTATCAAATTCAATGGACTCTATGTATCATTTTGAAGAATTGGTTGATTGTCAAATTCACATGTAGTTCTAGGGACTCCAAGAATAAAGTCCATGCTGATGTCAGATCATTACGAGTAGGCACAAGAAGAGGGAGGTACAAGCCCACATTGGAGGCCTCACCCTAGAAGACTTGGCACCTTTTGACGTACTTGTCTATGTTTCACTGCAATTAAGGCTAGTAGTACTAGACAGCTGTCAGGGAGTAAGGTCTTGTCTCACCGAAAGTGCCCTTCAAAATATATTTCTTGCAAGATCATTATTCTCCAAGAACAGTCAAAGACACATAACCGCTTGTCCTTAAATAGATAACCATCATGTAAATGAAAACTGTTATGCTCACCTTGATTAACTTTCTAGAATAGGGGTGAACATGGGTCGGTTTAGTTTAGTTCGGTTTCATGGTAGAACTTGAAACCTACTTTGTTAAGGTATCAAGTTCGATTCTGGTGTTTACCAGTGAAACCTGTTCTTTCTTTACCCCCCCTCCNAAAAAAAGAAGCATGTTTTTTAAAAACTTGATTTTTAATAAATATAATATATGGTTTAAAATTTATATTATCTTTATTGATTACGATTGTATTTGGCATTCTTTATTTTAAGGAGTAATCTCCTTTTTGTAGTTAAAATGCTCCTATGAATACCGAGTTTTTAACCTAAAAAAGGACATAAGTCCTTAAAAGAAGGAAGGCCAAATGCAGCCTAAATTGAGTAACTAAATATGTAGATTAACATTATATGGCCTAAACTTATAATTTAAATTTAAATTTCGTAAATATTACCTTTTACATATTGTACACATTCAAATATTAAAATCTATACTACTTTAAAATGTACGAATGACCTCAAGAATATTTCTGGAATTTTCTAAGGACAAAATTTACCCCTCTATATTTAAATTCATTGATAAAAAATGAGGGCAAATAGGATAATAAGTTCTTGATATTAAATGAGTTGAAAATAGGTAATTTTTAGATATTCAATGCATTCAACTCTCTCTCATTAAATCCAACATTTAAGTTATTAACTTGCATTCATGTTCATTGAATCATATATTTAAGTCATTTTTGTTTTTTCTCATCATTAAGTTCTATTAATTAAATCTATACTTAATTAATTAATAATTCCAATAACATAAAAACTTATACATTTAAAATATACCTAGCAAAAATAATGTTTTCATCTAGGTGGTGGTAAGAAATTAAATCATTTTGGGTCAAATGGGTTAATTTATGTTGCCATGATTAAATAATAAAATTAAAAAATAAATAAAATAAAAAATAGAAAATTAAAAAATTGAGAACATTTTTAACATACATATTAAACAATAATAAGTATGACAAATAAGAAATGTTTTTATTAATATGATAAATAAGAAATGTTTTTATTAATGATGGAAATGGAATGTGAAATTTAAAACCAATTGGAAATAAAAATATTTTCCTATTCTCTCTCTCATTAAATCCTTTATTTAAAATATATTTTTCTCATCATTAAATTCTTGCAATTAAATCCATAATATTAATTTTAATAGTATAAAAATAAATATTTTGAAAAGTAATTTGAAAATAAAACCATTTTCTTCCCTCCCGGTGGTGCGCAAGTAATTCGACCATTTGGGGTCAAATGGATTAATAAATAATGCCATAAGTAAATAATAAAAATTAAATTAAATAACTATGAAATGTAAGAAGTATTTTTATTAACGTTAAAAACGGAATGCCAAATTCAAAATCTACCTAGAAATGAAATGATGTCATAATTAAATAATAAAATTTTTAATAATAGAAAATACAAAGAATCACAAAAATAAAGAAAAGATAGAGATTGAGGCACATATCTAATGTATATTTATAAAAAATAAAATATTGGGTACATCTCTAATATTATGCATTCATTATATTGAACAAAAATAAGTTTTATAAATAAGAAATAATTTTATTAATGATGGAAATTTAATATCACCCTAAAAATCAAACTATTTGTCTTTTTAGATGGTGGGTTAGTGGTTTGAGTCAAATGATCCCATAGACAAACAAAAATTAAGTGTGATAAGTAAAAAATATTTTATATAATATAAATGAAATATATAATTTAAAGGAAAAATTATAGTTAAAGTCGATTGTGCATTTAAAATTAGTTTGCAGGTTGGTCAAAAAACCAACAAAACTCTGACAACCGACTCTACATTTCAAATTAAAGAAACCCCTGCCATGTCATCAGATGCTTATGTGGGTACTGCCAACATGGGACTCTTAGTCCATGTTAGACACAACAAAAAACCTATATCAAAAATAGGTTTTCATTTTCCCTCTCTATTGTTCTCCCTCAATCTCTCTCATTCTTCTGCCTCACTCTCCTTCTCGGTCAATATTTCCTCCCTTAGTGTCTATCATTCTCCACTGTGTAAATTTCAAAGGCAAGAGTTTCTTGTGAATTTTTATCAAATTGGTGTAATGACTTTTGAACCATACCAAGTTGGTCTCATGTTATTTTATACGATCTAATTAATACCATATAAGTGTGCAAGAGAATTAAAAAAAAAGAATGAGAGAGGGAGTGGGAGAGAAACTGAGGGAGAACGATAGGTAGAGAGAGGGAGAGAATGAGAGAAATTGATATAGAGAAAGAATGAGAGAGATTGGTATAGAGAACATAAATACAGAAACTAAAAACCATTTTTATTTATTTTCAAATCACATAGACGTTGAGTAGATAAAGATGACTGTGAGCATGAGAGAGTGTAAGGGAGATTGAGAGAGAGAGAGAGAGAAACTAAAAACCCCTATTTTTTAATTTTCCGATCACCCAACATTAAAGGGCAATTTCGATATAAGCTTTTTGTTGTGTCCAACATGGATTAAGAGTCTCATGTTGGAAACAACCACATAAGGCTCCGATGACATTATCGAAAACATTTGAGAACATTTATGATGTTACATATTCATCATATTAAATAAAAATAATTGTTAAGATAAAAGTTATTTTTATTTATGATAAAAATGCAATGCAAAATTTAATGATAATAATAACAATTGTTATTTGCTATAACCATTTAAGTTTATTTTTAATCATATTGTTACTTTTGTTAATTTTCAATTTTTATCTTAACTATGATATATCTTTAATTCAAGTAATTAATATGAAGAAAAATTTCTCACGTGCAACGCATGTGCTTAATTACTAGTAAATAACTTTGGTAAGTCAATGGTTAATTGAGACCATGAACTTTGTAACCATGAGTTCTTGGGTTAAAATCTTCATATCCCCAAAAGTATTTTGGGGTTTATTTGAAGACAAGTTCAGTTCTAAGGCAGGTTCCACCAAGGCCAACAAAAGTCGGTTCCAAGAATTTGGAAGCAAACCCTACCCTATAACAGATTGGGTAAGGTCGGTTCAAGGATGGTTCCATTCGGTTCCGGGTAGAGGTGTAGAACTTACCCATTTGCTCACCCCTAATCTAGAAGATGGATGAAAAGTCAGCATCATTTATGTATATGCCTTGTAATTAGTTGAATCCAAATGCCTTGATTTGTGTCATAGTAATCAAGGAGACATGTCTATCGAGTGCTTCGACCGCTTTGTTATATTCTCTAGCCTTGTGCTTAAGGAAAAAGATGAACTTTTGAATGTAACTCATCCACTTGGCATGTCTCACATTTAAGTTGGACTCCAAGTTCATGTGTTTAAGTGTCTCATGATCCGAGTAAATCACAAACTTAGTAGTGTTTCTAGTGCTTGAGAGCTCGAACATAGGTGTTGTAGTTGAGTCGTGGACCAGATAACTTCTCATTGAAATAAGCAGCCACAAGTCTCCTGAGTTGAATGAGCACTGTAG